AGACTGGGTTCTATAGCCTTGGATGGCAACTGGTTTCGGTGAAGGACAACTCTGAATTCAAAACCTGCGGAGGGTCGTTTAGGGACCTTGTGATACGTAGTTCACCAGGTCTCTGTATTCGACCCTTCAAAAAATGTGGTTGGTTCTGGACAAAGACTTCACCATTATAATCAAATCATATGTACTGGTGTCTGGGCTGTCGGTTCCTAGGAACTGAGCTGCTTCATAATACGACAGGAGAGTCCACCACACACACACACAAACACACAAATTTATATATATATATATATATATATATATATATATATATATATATATATTATTCAAAAGTAGTTGAAAATGCAACTGGAGTCTTCAAGTAAATTTTTAGAATAACTTTACCGGTTTATGCTTTTCAAAAGTTAAAGTGAGATGACTAGGATTGTGGCTATGCCAATATATATTTCCAGCCAATATATATTTCCAGCCAATATATTTCTATCGGAAAGTTTGTGTATATACGAAGAATTAAATCAATCTTCAAACACGGATCTACAAATTTGAATAAGTTTTATTTATTGGAATATTTTTTTTTCCATGTGAAGGAAATAAATTACAAAAATACATTGTGAACAATTTCACATGAAATGTTTTTTTGTCTCCTCTTTTATAGTGCAACTGTGAATTGCGTTAGTATAGGATAAAGGAATAATGCCTTTATAGGTGTACAGATGTATGTGGCAAGTCTAGTGTGTATATGTGACAGGTCAAGTGTGTGTAAATTCTAGCTTTAGACCTTATGAATGAAAGCGAGAAAAAAGCAAAATGCTACTGTTGCATGCGTGCGGATGTATATGTCACAAGTTTACATTGTTTGCACTGTGTGTATAAATTCTAGTTGTAGGCTCGATAATAAAAGGCAGGAAGTTATGTTACCACTGTTTACGCATGTAAGACCATCGCTAAGCATTATTTTGTAAATATTGTATACTCGAAATAAATAAGGAAAAGATGTGAGTAATTAATAATGAGAATTTCTTTTTCTTTTTTGTGACAAACGATCGACCCCCCACCACATCTTGTTCAAGGTTAACTGAAAAACTGATTAGTGACCAAGAATTGAACATATTTATAAGAAAAAGGTAGGCTCCAAAAAATTTAAAATTTAGATTTTTTTTTTAATCGCAAGCTTATTGACTAATATATAGATTTAAATATTCACTCTAAAATTTAATTTTAAAATATTTTGCCGTCTGCTAATTCAAAGGAGACAGTGCGTCTCGTTCTACGTCGATGATCATACTTATTATAAAACCCAGGTTGTGTGTGTGTGTGTCTGTACGTTTATATATTGGATTGGATTTCGTACATTTTTCAACCGATTTCAACAAAACTTCACAGGACTACGTAAAATTACCTTGCGGTGGTTCTGACAGCGACAAAATTGGAAAAACACAATTGTTTTTGCACGAAATCAATTTGAAAACACGATTAAGAAGCATCGCGAGAATGAAAGGAGGACAACTCATATCGAGTTATACTTATAAAACCCAGGTTGTTTGTGTGTGTTCGTTTATATATGGGATCGGTTTCCTACATTTTTTTTAACCGATTTCAACAAAACTTCACTTTTTTTTGGTAGGTAGTGTTTCTTATTGTCTTGCACACTTTTTTCTTTATTTTTTACATTCAGAATGCTTTAAAAATTCCATTTACGAAGACAATTGTTTATAATAAAATTCAATTCAATCGGTAGACTCATAACGATTGAAAACAATGTTTTTGTTTGAGTTTGAGTTTGACCAATTCGTAAAAAAAAAAAAAAAAAACTAATTAAGACATGCGTGTCCGTCAACCTTAAACAATAATTTTTGTCAATTTTATTTTTCAGTCATTATGATAGTCGATACTTGATCTATCTCTTACTGTTACATCCCCGGGCAACGCCGGGATCTACTGCTAGTTGGTTAATAAATAGGAATACAAAGATTCAAATAATAGGAGCCGGAAAAATACAAAAATTGAGTTACTTTCTGTTAGCCGGTTAATGTACAAAAAAATTGGGTTTTTCAAAAGATTTTATATAAATCTATTTGCATTTTTTACAGTTCTGAAAACAAAACTAAACTTCAAATATACATATGGTATATATATATATATATATATATATATATATATAAAGAACAAAATTCAAATTACCTCATATGGGGGTGGGTAATCTATTTCAACCGATTAAAACTTCGTCAGTATTAGATTTAAATTTCTAATTCCGACACGAACTCAGTGTATATACCGGGGTTGAATAGGACTGACGTAGCTTTCGTCGGTTGAAATAGATCTACCCCACTTCCTATATGAGGTAATTTTAGATTTTGGTGTGTAATAGTATTTATATGTTTTATTATAATAAATCCATCGAGCTCTTTTTGTGGGTCAGTTTTAATATTTTAAATTACGAGGATCTACTTGGATTATATACCAACAGATTTATTACCTTTATATATATATATATATATATATATATATATATATATATATATATAAAAATGAACATAACAATCAACATTTAGATTAACATTCTTTTCATTATAGACGCAGTCGTCAAACCTGACGATTGCATCTAGCATGAAACAGACTGTCGCCTCTGAGTGTTGGAATTCTATATTCACTTTATATTTACACACATCTATCTCTGACATTGAGTACTTTATCCCTTAAATATAGCACATCTTAAGACTATATTTCTTCACAAACACACACACACACACACACACACACACACATATATATATATAATGATAATTAATGATATTAGTGATCAGTATAATATTTCCAAAAGGATATAAATCCAGAGAGAGAGAGCTCTATGTCTGAAACAGAGCAATAAATATTCTTATAAAAAGCACAAATACTAAAATTTCATGAGGATACAGTGTAACCCGGATATAAGAGACCCGGATATAAGAGACCCGGATATAAGAGAAACCCAGATATAAGAGAAACCCGGATATAAGAGAGATTTTCTCTGGTCCCAAATTAGAGCCTGTGTTAATGTATATAAAGTAGACTAAACCCGGATATAAGTGAAACCCGGATATAAGTGAAACCCGGATATAAGAGACTTCTTCTCCGGTCCCGACAACTCTCTTATATCCGGGTTGACACTGTATATTTATTTCATTTGGGTCGTAAAAACGGCTCCATCAGACCTTCAAATTAAAAATATTATGAATTGGGACCGTTTTTACAACTCTAATGAAATAAATATGACCTCATGAAATTTAAGTGTTTGTGCCTTTGATAATAATAATAATAATAATATATATATATATATATATATATATATATATGGTGTGTCAGAATTACTTCCCACATATACCTCCCACATAAAGGTAAGTTATTAATGAAAATGTTGTCATCATCTCACTAATATCATACCATTATATGAGAGGTATTATTGTCACACCATGAAGATTTGGGGCCTCCAAAGATTTGCTAAAAATGAACATACATGATGGAAAAATACACCCCAACCTATTAAAAACAAAGTTTTATCGTCAAAATCTTTATGTTATTATTAAGAGAAAGTACAAAAGGATTGTTTGATTATTAAATTACATTTTTTTTAGTCCTTTTTAAAACCTGAGAAATTTTAGTTAAAACTTTTCTTTTTCTTGTATCAAAGGAGGGGGGGACTACAAATTAGTATTGGAAATTTGATCGACATTTTGCGGTGAAAAACATTGATTTGGAAATGCTTCCAAAATCGGATACTTGTCGGGTTTTTATTCACACGCTCAGGACTTATTCGCAAATTAAATTATGTAAGGAAGTGTTTATTTTATTTTAGAAAATTTGTTTTTTTACATCTATTACTGCCTACTTATTTAATTTTATGAAATTTCGACAAATTAAATTTTGTATCGCTTATTATATTCACTATAAGGATATGTCCTTGGAAAATTTAAATCATAAAATCATTTTGTCAAACAGGACCCCCAGTTACAGAATATCTGTTCTGAATCATAAAATAAAACAATGCAATAACAGTAAGACATTATTTAATTAGAAAAGCTTTTAATTGGTTTATAAGATATATTATTGACACTATTGTCTTAAGAAAAAAAATGTTTCGATCAATAATAAATTTTTAAAAGAATTGTTTCATTTAAAAAAAATTAATTAGTGTAATTTATAACGTTTTAAATTTTTTAAAATTCTGTATTAACTTTTAGAGGTTAGATGATATTGTTATTAAATAAAACTATATTTACTAATAAAAAATGAAAAAAAAAAGTATTTTAAAAAAGAATTTTGAATTTTTTGTGTACAAACGTGCCGATTTTTGTAAATATAGGTAACTAAATTCAAAATTTATTGGTAATTTTCTAACATTTTTTTTCAACGACCGTTTTCGCAAGTAAATCTGTAAAGCCAAAGTGTATAATATTCAATAAAATATTAGAATGTTTAAAATATTTAAACCTTTCAAGATTACTGGGTAGTTAATAAAAGTATATAAAAAAAGGCGTTCAAATTTTACTCACCATGTGATTTTACTACAAATATTTCATCCTTACCTAAATCTTGGAATCATCCGGTTATCGATAGATATGTCAGCACCTCATTAAAACACCCATATTTCTATCATTGTCTTAGTCTTCATTTTGGCTTTCCACCAGGTACTCTCGATTGTTTGGGTGTTAGCTGCATTTTTTTTCAACAGAAATTCATACTGTGATTTACAGTCAAGAGAATAGATTTGATATCATCCTTCATATATATATATATATATATATATATATATATATATATATATATATATATATATATATTGATATATATGATGCTTCAAATATCATTTATACTAAATATATATATATATATATATATATATATATATATATATATATTATATATGATGCTTTTCTCTGATATATTTTAAACTAAAAAAACGGCTATTTGTTTTAATTCAGATTGATTCCTTTTGATTTGTTTTGTTTTACGGTATAACAATCTCAATGGGTTATTTAATGCCGACAAGATTTTTATTGCTGGTAATATTTTTTATCTATCTATCTATCTATCTATCTATCTATCTATCTATCTATCTATATATTGCTTTGGTTTGGTTTGCGTTACGGCATAACAACTACAATGGATTATTTAATACCGACAAGATTCTTATTGTTGGTAATATTTTTTTCAAAAAATGTATTTCTGGTATTAAAACCTATTTTTACACTTTTATAGTGTTACAAACCCCACTTTGGGGATTAACTATTTAGTCATAGCTGGGACCCTAACAAGTGCTACCACCCCGGGTTAGGCTGGACCTGGGAATACTAGCAATTAAGAGGTGGTTCCATGCTTCTCAAAACCCCCTGATCAGCGGCTTTGATGATGGACGTAGTTTATCGTCTTGCCCAGTTCTTTTAATTCAGATTAATAACAGTTTAAATCAGTTAATCTTCCGCAAATAAAGTTCAAGAAAAGTACATTTTACTTTTGAAAGATTTTTAATAGAGAGAATTATATTGTGTTGACAGATTTGTCAATATGGCCGGTTTTAGTGAATTAAACAAATTCCAATCAAGTTAAATTTTGTTTGAAATACAGCAAAGTATTTTTCTTATTGGAAATATTATATTTAATCTATTAGCTTGAAATTAAAACTAAAATAAAAAGATTCATGAAATAATTTTCATTTTTAAAAATTCATTTTAAACTTTAGGTAATGCGTTATTTTTTTACTCCGATTCTAATATATATATATATATATATATATATATATATATATATATATATATATATATATATATATTACTAAATTTCATATATAAAGATTCAAAATGTCCTTTAAAATTCGTCCAAAAATGCATTCATTGTTATTTTTTGTCTTACGTCTCCAAAGGAACTCACACACATTAGAAGATTTCTATCTTGCTGCGATGAGTCCTAAAATTTATCATTTTGGCTTTCCAAGAGGAGGCACTCTCAATTGTTTGGGTGTTAGCTGAAATTTCTGAGTCAAGGTAATTCATACAGCGATTTACAGTCAGAGGAATAGAATTGGGATCATCCTTCAAAAATTATTTTTATATTTTATATTTATATATATATATATATATATATATATATATATATATATATATATATATATATCTGATGCGAAGAGAACGAAATTAATATATGAATTCCAACGTTCACAGCATTAATCCAAAAGAGGGCTCGATGCCGATAGTAGAGTGATAATTATTTATTCATTTTAATTTTATCATATAGACAAGACCGTTTTACTCACACAAAAATTGCAACTTCGTTTCAGATGCATTTCAACTGCACTTCGACAGGTGAGAATCGAAAATGGTTATGAACAATCCTGCTTGTAAAAAAAGCCGTATGTGAAACGTCATTTTCCTTTTTTCCATTTGTTTGAGAAGAAAAAATATACATAAAAAAAAATAGGTGACTTTATAAGTAACACTAGTGCTTGTTGATAGCAGTTTATATTATAAATAATAATAAATGATATATATATATATATATATATATATATATATATATATATATATATATATATATATATATATGAAATTAAAATATTACTATTACCATAGGCAACGTATCGAAGTATTGATTATTAGCTGATTCATGGGAATATTTAAGGTTAGGTATAGGAAGCATAGACGAAACTTTAATCAATATTCAGAAAAAATAATCTAATCTTTTCTGTTAATTCACCCCCAAAATATTAATTCACCCAAAAAGAATTTATATTTACTAAAATTCACACCAAAATTCAGAAATGATCTTTAAAATTTACCCCAAATGCATTCATTTTTATTTTTTACCTTACGTCTCCAAAGGAACTCACATAAATAAGAAGATTGCTCTTATGCTACGATGAGTTCAGAACATTAACTTAGTCTTCATTTTGGCTTTCCAAGAGGTACTTTCGATTACTTGGGTGTTAGCTGACATTTCTGTGTCAACAAAATTCATACTGTGATTTACAATCAGAGGAATAGAATTAGGATCATCCTTCAAAAATATATATCCTTTCTAATAATCCAACATAATTGTAGTCCAAGGTAAAATACAGCTTCGGATTGTGACCAATAATGTGGAAGCTCTTTTATCTATGAAGGAAGAATATTTACTTTCTTACATCATCATCATCAGCAGCAGCATCCTTCGACTTTCCTATGGTTGGTTGGAAAGCCCAAATCTCCAATGTTCAACCCTGACTCCTGAGTTATGGTGTCAGGGAAAGTCAATTTTTTCATGAGAATACACTTCCAGAACGATGCCATAGCAGTAAGGCTGGGACGATTTCCCTGTCGGCTTAGTGGCAATGGATGGCAAATGGTAAGAACTGGGTAAGCAAAGACTGAAACCCTGGTGCAGTTAGTAGATTTTATAAAAAAGGAACTAGATATTCCTATAACATCTAAATGGCAACACTGAGAAGTTCGGATATGAGGACCTTTTTAATTAAAATGAAAAAAAAAAAAATTTTATTTACTAAAATTCACACCAAAATTCAAAAATGATCTTCAAAATTTGTCCCAAAATGCATTCACTTTTGCCGGACAGTCTACAAATGAGATCAAGACTCACTACAAATACAGAAAACGAACAATGAAACAATAAAAGAACATAAGGAAAATTTATTCCTTTTAAAAATGTATTCCTTTTATTTGCCTGAAGAAGGTCAATGAGACCGGAAACGCGTGTAGACGATATGAAGAATAAAATATAATATATACACTAAAAAAAATCCACATTATAACACAAAAAGTTTGCATTTTTTCTCTTTTTTTAAATTATACATTTTTCTCCCGTTGGAAGAACTATAAACTTTTCCCATATATATATATATATATATATATATATATATATATATAAATATATATATAAGTCCAATATTTTAATTCATACTAATTAAACTCTAATTGCATTAACTATAATTTTTTACAAGACAAGAGTTAGTCGATCATTTAAAATAGGATATTACTATTCCAATCATTTCTTATAAATTTGCCGTATAAAATTTTGGTTCAAATATACAGGGTGTCCATAAAGTTCGTGTGCACTTTACAAAATTTATAACGTTATTTGTATTTGCGATAGAAATAATCTGTAAAAAATGTTATAAAGTTTAATGTACCTAGTTTTAAGTATAGCTAAAATAACTAATGTGATTTCGGGCATTACTGTTAATCAGTTGGTAAATGTTTTCCGTGAACTGCAAAATCGTATTACCCTTTGTATTGTTAATGATGGAGGACATGTGGAAACTTAAATAAAATTTCAATAAAACTTTAAAAAATATAGATTTACTTCTTTCTAATCCTTTTTACAAATGATTTCTATCGCAAATACAAATAAAGTTATAAATTTTTTAAAGTGCACACGAATTTTATGGACACCCTATATTATACTGTATATGCTCATGATTTTGAAGACTTAATTTTGAAGCTAATTTGACTACAGTCAATCGACATATAACTTGGTCAACGGCGTAACGACGACCGGCAGTACATACGCTAATTTTATATCTCGTATATGATGTGACCCTCTTAAAATTAGTCATTTAAATTTTTGAAAAAGTCGCAATTTTTACGAAAAATATACGGTATATATGTACGATGTTGGTGTAATAAAACTCATTACAGCTTTGCCATGCTCAATTCCTTCGGACTCTTTTCGAACACGTTGAGCTCATCACGCATATTTGTTACAAAACAATTTCATTGTTTGTTGATAAGCCGTAGACGTCATTTGTTTACATTTGGATACGCATCGAGCAGATATGAATGAATGAAAGAAAATCATAGAAATTATATTTTAAAATAGTAAAATCGACATTGCTAACCGAAACGCGCCTCTGTTTATTAATCGGTAAATATTTCCAGGTTATATGGTATTATATTTTTCCGTATATACATCTGGTTCGAATCCTGTCGGAGGACGCATATTTTCTATAACAATTTCTCGGACATTCAAAAACGCTTAATATCGTTAATAAAATTATTATAAACAGATGATTTACTTAAATATTTGTATCTATAAAAAGAACGTATAAACATGAAAAAATGTCTTAATATATTTATATATATATTGTGTGTTGTGAATTTGCATGATATGCCGCATATACTGGCGTATAATGCGACTATTGAAGACTTAATTTTGACATAGCTAATTTATCTACAGTCAATCGATATATCGTTTGGACAACAGCGTAACCAGGGCTGAGAAATATATTATATATATTTATATCTCATGTATGATGCGACCTCCATTAAAATTAGCTTCAAAAATTAGAATATTCATTTAACTCGCATGATACGCGATATAATATATATATATGTAATGTTGGTATAAAGCAATACTTTTTTTGTTCAAAACGGATCTCAGAGCCGAGACTTCGAACACGTCGTGCTCATCCACTGTTACAAAGATTTTTTCCTTTCTGTTGGTACGGATCGAATCCTATCGTATCTATAGAAAAATGTAACATTAAGGGGGCGGGTATATCTTCTTCTTTTTCTCTCCTCTCGCGCTTTTGTGATCGGTGATTGAGCCTGTCTGTCAAAATATATAAAAAAATAAATGATTTCCCTGTTGAAGAACTCTAACATCCATCATTTCCTTTTGGATCCAAAAGCATATATGTCCAGGAGCTGGGTTCCTCATTTGAAGCAATATTTTGTTTATCACTCTTTAAAAACTTTTCTCCGTCAAGAACTTGTCAGGTTTTGGAAGCCTTATCTAATCATTTCACCAAAAATCTAACATTTTATTAGGATCTGTTTAAATCTATCTACATTTGTTTGCTATCTATCTATATTGGGCCTATCTATCTATGATAGGCATTAAAAAGTAAAATATCTCCTCTCTGTTCCGATTCTTATCTATCTATTTACCTTGGATATTATCTATCGTGCGTGCATCGTTATCGATAATAAGAAGAGGGAGATTTAAAAGCAGAGGAAAGATTTAAAGCAATATTTAGAGAAATAGAAAGAAAAGGAGAAAAATTTTTATATTTAGACGAATGTATCAAGAAAAACATGAAGGTTCCAAAATTTCATTTTATTCTTTCTTTCTTTCTCTCTTTCTTTCTTAGGTTTATTCATTTCTATCTCCACTTTCTTCCTATCTATCTATCTATCTATCTATCTATCTATCTCTAGTTTATTTATATCTATCTGTCTATCTCCATCTTATTCATATCTATCTCCATCCATTTCTTCATTCTATCTATCCATCTATCTATCTCATCCCCAGGTTTATTTGATCTAATCCAAATCTATCTATCCATCTTTCTATCTATCCATCTATCTATATCCAGATCTTCTATCTCTAGTTTATCTAAATATCCTTCTATCTATCTCTATCTATCTATCTATCTATCGTTTGGATTTAAATCTCCAAATAGACAATTATCCATCTATCCATCTATCCATCGAATCCATCTATCTCTAATTTATTTATATCCATCTATCTATCTATCTATCTATCTATCCAACTATCTCCAGTTTTTCATATCTATCTCCTATTTCTTCATATCTATCTATCTATCCATCTATCCATCCATCTATCCATCCATCTATCTATCTATCTATCTCAGTTTGTTAATATCTATCTATCTATCTATCTAATATAGAAAATCTATCTATCATCATCCATTATCCATCCATTTATCTCATCTATTTTCTTCTTCCATATCTATCTATCTATCTATCTATCTATCTATCTATCTAACCGAGGTAAGAAATTTATTTCTATCTATCTATCTATCATCTATCTATCTATCTATCCATCTATATAAAGTATCTATCTATCCTTTATCTATTATCATATCTATCTATCTATCTATCTATCTATCGTTTATTCATATCTATCTCCGTTCTTCTTTTATCTATCTATCTATCTATCTATCTATCCATCTATCTATCTATTAATTTATACTGATATCTATTTTGTTCAAAAATTATCATCTATCTATCTATTATCCAATCTATTATCTATCTATCTATCTATCTATACACAAAACTAGACAAAAAAACCGAAAACATCTTTCCTCAAAAATCCATTCAGAGCCTCGTGTCAGAGACTTTTTCATCCATCTGGTTGAACGTTTAACTGAGGTTGAGATTGGAATGTATTTTTTCAAGAATGTGTATATCATCCGTTTGTATATATCTGTTCTCACATTATATCTTCTATGAAAAAATAGAATTTACATCTTGGCAAACTATCTATCCAGAAATAGACATGATCCATCCAGATAAATATTTATCTAAATCTAATTTTCTTTGAGGGGGATATTATTCTTTAATTTCTGTCTGTCCTGTCTATCTGAATTTATCCATATCAAACATCGTATTTTTAATCTTTTCGTTCTCCAATTCTTAAACTCATCCATCACTGCCATAAAATAAAACCTACAAAATTTTCATGACATACTAAGTTGTTTCCATTATCTACATTTTTTTCCATATTATTTAATTGGTGAATCTCTGCACTTAAAACTATCAATTTTGTAAATATTTTTTTGGGGTTATATCCCTCATGCAAACTCAATAAAGCCACTAAGACACAAGGAGTTACTGAGTATGAAAGAATAAGAAGTAATAGACGCATTGCTAAGAAGCGAGAACAATAGAAGAATAATCAGGAAGGCAGTAGATAACGATTGACATTGCATTTGAATTTTTGAAGCTCAAAGTTGGCTGTAAAAAATGAACGAGAAGAGAAATAGGTACAAACAAAAAGTGCTAAGAAAAATTTGTTTGGCATAGAACTTACCTAATATCTCGTCAACGTTTATGAAATAATAAAACCTGATCATGCCTAGCTCCCTTACTGCACAAAGTTCATAAAATCTAGGTACCATAGCGAAAAGATTGATTTTATTAGTAATTTATTTACAAAATGTTCTTATTAAAAGGCCAAAATGGGTAATAGGGAAAAAAACAACATGTCTTCTTCTGTCTTTAAACTTATCTAGCACAAACACTGACCCAAACATTCCACAATATTCCTAACATCTAAAAAACAACGCATTCTTAAAATTATTATAAAATTACTACAAACACCATAATACCTCTTTTGTCTCTATGAAAGTCCTATTTTTGTCCCCATATGTACAATTCATTGTCTGTGGAGGGAGGAATAAAACATCAATTTAAAAAATACCCCTAATGAGTATTTACAATATGAATACAAATTTATGGCGAAGAGTTCATTCGAGCAATTACCATGAGAGTATTTATAGAAAAAACACAGGGAATCTAAGTTACGGCGATGGGAAAGTGACTTGTTGTTTGCATGAGTTTTACAAGCCAGGGAAAAATAATATTGCTGATTCTTCTCGTTGCTCACATGTACTGTTCTTAGAATTCTCAGTATTTGTTGGCAGAATTACCTCCCTTCAAATTTCCTCGTTTTCTGGTAAAAGATTGTTGCCATTAACAGAGCCTGTTTATATTTGGATGAGGTTGAGTTTATGTATTTGTGCGCTTGTGTATATGGGTGTGTGCGTGTGTAAGATGGTGAAATAGAAGAGAGAAACTGTCACAGAAATGGATATGAAGCGAAACAAACACAGAGAGAGAGAGAGAGAAATTCTCCAAACCCTCTTTCCTTATTATGTGTTCCAGAAATTTCGGCTGTCTCTTTCTGGTTCTAAATATATTTTCTTTCCCTTTTCCTGAAAACTTCCTCGTTGCTCACATGTTCTGTCCATGGAATTCTCAGCATCCTTCTGTAGAACAACATTTCTGTCGCCCCGAGTTTTTTTTTTTTATGAAATTCACTTGACTGTTCACTGCTATAAGGTGGATTGATATTAAATAGTAGTTCGGCATTCTTTTCTTTGTTTTGTAACGAAATTTATCTTTATGATAAATTTGATTGATTGATTATTATTTTTTTTTACGGTTTATCAACCTTTCTCCTCATCATTTATAATTTAGCTTGGTCGCATATTTTTAAGATCGTTGATAATAAATATTTAAAAAATAAAAATCCTTTTTTTGAAAAATTAATCCACACCTGGAGAAGAGGTTGATTTATACCTCTCCCAAGGATATTTACGCGTAAGTGAATATAACAAAACCAACGGGAATTGGAACTCGGAAAATCAATTTTCAACTCGTTAACCGTTACCACCTGCAATGTAACAAATCATCCTTACAGCACCTCGTAAATATTTTATAAAGCTTTCATCCATCTTTGACCAATTTTTTCCATTAACGTTTCTTAAACTCGGTGATCCTACGGGAACCGATGTCTCAACGTGATATGGCCGTAAGACTTAGTACAAACTATAATGCTGCTCATTATATATTTGAATATGCTTTTGAAATTCTAAGCAATATTCAGTTAATGTTACATGTTCTTTTATGTGCCGTGTCCACACAACGTTGTCGGTCATGGCTCTCCACAACTTCCTATTCTTTGTTATATTGCTCTTAGCAATGTCTACTCTTTTACTGCCCCTCCTAGTTCTTGTTCTGCCATTCACTTAAAGGTAGGTTACTTGCTGCTCCTCCCTCCCCCTCTTGCTTTCAGTATGTCCCGTGAGTGTCAAATTCTCGAAACCCTCTTTCCTTATTATGTGTGCCAGAAATTTCGGCTGTCTCTTTCTGGTTCTAAATATATATTTTCTTTCTCTCTTCCTTAAAACTTCCTCGTTGCTCACATGTTCTGTCCATGGAATTCTCAGCATCCTTCTGTAGAACAGCATTTCTGTCGCCCCGAGTTTTTTTTTTTCATTTGTGGGGAAACTGTTCACTGCTATATTAGGTGGATTGATATTAAATAGCAGTTCGGCATTCTTTTCTTTGTTTTGTAACGAAATTTTCTCGTTTTTTAAAACTTTGCTTAGCTTTTAGAAGACATCTTTAAATTAAAATGCATTTTCGGTTTCTGCGACACATATTCCGTCGTCTGTGATATTTTTTATCATTTCACCCAAGCAAGGCAATAAAACCACTAAGACACAAAGGATTACGGAATGGAAAAGAATAAAAGGAAAGAAAAAACATTATTAAGGAGTGAGATCAATAAAAGAAGCAGAATCAAGAAAGCAGACGATAATGATTGACATTGCATTTAAATTATTGAAGAGCAAAGTTGGCTGGAAAGCAAGAAGATGGAAAAGAGTTTCACAAGTGAGAAGGGCAAGAGAAGAAGTTATTAGCATAGAACTTACGGTTGCATCTAGCCATTTCAACTGTTAAATATTGAGTCCTTGGCGCCAATTGCGCTTAAATTCATAAAGTCTAAGTACCAGAGTGGAAAGTTCATTAGAGCAATCACCATGAAAGTATTTATAGAAAAAGCAGAGGGAAACTACATTACGGCGGCGGGAAAGTGACTGAATCAGAGATGCAAGGTAAAGACCAGTAACATTGCAGATTCTTTGGATTTTATCAAGAATCTCTAAATATATAGCAGAAGCACCAGACCAGATGTGGCAGCAATATTCAAAGCAAGGGTGAATGGTAGACTTATAAATATGTAAGATAGATTCTTCTTTGGATTTTATCAAGAATCTCTAAATATATAATATTCAAAGCAAGGGTTAGAATAGATTCATTTTAAGTTTCTAAATATATAGACCAGATGTGGCAGCAATATTCAAAAGCAAGGATGAATGGTAGACTTATAAATATGATAAAGATAGATTCTTCTTTGGATTTTATCAAGAATCTCTAAATATATAGCAGGAGCACCAGACCATATGTGGCAGCAATATTCAAAGTATGGACGACTGGCAGACTTATAAATATGCAAGATAGATTGTGACGAGCAAAATTTTTTAGCTGAATACAGTGAACCAACTTTCTTAGCAGCTGACATAGCAATGGATTCAATATAAACTTTCCACTTCATATCAGCAGAGTACGTTAGCCCGAGATGGCGAACGAGTCACTCTCTTGGAGGCTAGGATCAGCCATGCTGATAAAAAGGTTTCTCTCATTTTGTCACATAACAGCAGACATAGAAACACATATCCTCAAATAACTTAAGCACCCTGCATTAACACTACAGTATCTATTATTCGAAAAACCCTCATACAACCACAATAATCTCTACTACCATAACATCAATGTATATAGATTGTGTGATGGGTAAAATGTCGCCATTTCATATTTTTAATTTCACGCATGCGCGTTGCTTATTTTTTTTTTTCTCGACTGCACAGTATAGTTTAGATTTTTCACAAGGCGTTAGCTTAGAGTGTAAACAAGGCCGTCCAATGAGAAAGAACCCACTACACAAGGTGCGTAATTGTTTTGTAAGGGTAGCTTAGATGTGGCAAAAATCCAATGAGGATCCCATTTTTCATGCAACAAAGGACAAAGTTTCAAATGATTTTGTAAGATTAGCTTAGATGTGGCTGGAAAAGGATCATCACTAATGAGGATCGAACTCACCGCCTAAAGGTGCCCCAAATCAGCCGTAATTGTTCTAGCCGTAATTGAGACAAGCTTGCTAAAATTACACCGCCTAAATATTATAAATGATTTAAAGGGTAGCTTAGATGTGTTTATTTGCATCCAATCTATACAACTCAGTCCCACCACTGAGACAAAAATATTTAAAGGTGCCCACTATAATAGGGTCAGTTAGGCAGGGTAACTGTGAACATCTATAAAAAAGGAGCACCATGACGTCAAGTCACTTCGCCAAAATTTGGAAACAGTTGACTGTAAGTGATAATTGTTAGCGACGGGAGCTCCAATCCGAACATTTCAGAGTGTTTGGATGGCAATCTGAGGACAATGCAGAGGATTCGGAAAGAGTTGGAGGAGTTTAATGGTGATTACGAAGGTGCGGCAGCTCGGAAAACTCACTCTGATCGTTTTGAAAAGAAAAGAACTTCTGAATTTGTTGGTGAGGGCATCAGACTCAACACACAGATCTACATCGTGCCTTGAAGAGGCAGCGC